CAGTCTCTGGTCGCGTGTCCCCTTTTCGCGTGTCCAACCTGTTTCAGGAAATCTAATTTGAAAAATCGACAGTGAAATTGGTAGAAATTGAGCATGCCATTTGTTTCTGGTTTTACTCTTCGATTTTTCGAATTTAGTATCGCGGTCGCGGTCGTGGATAGGTCGCAAGTAGGTCCCGAAACGAACGTTTACGTAGGTATTGCTCGAGCACGCACATGCGAACGGACAACGATCACTATGATCGAAAGACTCGAGCTAGATGTAAGTTTCAGCGGGCATTGCGCTCGAAGAAAGAAAAGGCTAGAAGCCGAAGAGGCCCGGCAAACTGCCACCAAGAGGGTCGCAACAAATGGCTTCTTATCCTCTGGATCATTTAAATGATTCCAGAGCATAGGAAGTCATTCTCGTTACTACTTTGTCACTATGCTCTTTTAGTATTTGTAGTTGTATTTTTTTTTCTTTCTTTCTTCATCATCGTTTGTCATCGTTTTGGGCAAATCGCAGTTTTTCTTGTTAGTATTGCGAGAGATTGATTTGGCGGTTTAAATTAGAGTTGCGAAGAAATGATAACCGTGTTTGCTATAGATTTGCGAATTATGATACCGCGATTGTTTTTTGCAATTTTGATTTGAATTTTTATAATTATTTAGTGTAAAATCTTGCTTTTTATTATTTTAAATTAAATTATAGTCATTGCTCTTAATTAATGTTAGAATATTTGAACCAGCTTTCTGTTCGTTCAGTTTTGTATTGATCATCGTAATTTTCATTGAATTTTCATTAATTTTAGAGTTAGTATTATTACGATATTATTTCATCGGGATTTCCAGTTACTTTTACTCTTAGTATTACGATGTTCCAATTACTTTTTCTCTTAAGTGTTGCGATAATGAATGATCGCGTTTCTTGAAGTAGCGTTGCGTTTACAAAATGCCCAATTTCTCCAACTGGATTCGTGGAAGGTTGTACCTGTTCCTGGATCATCTGATACAGCTATAAGAGCTGTACAAAGCTGGTAGTTCATCAACAACCTCCAGCATGGTTACACTGGACGCGTCGCAATTAGTGTTACGCATTTTTGAACATGAGTGCATAGTTTAATAGCGTTTCATACATATTTTCGGGAATTTTAAACATAACGAAGCACTCTTCGCGTTTGATTTTAAAAATTTCCTATTTCACAATTAATGCTAGTGAATTAGTGTTGCGAAACAAGATACGGTTTTGTTTCTCGGATTTGTAACGTAGATATTTGTACAGTAGCCCTTCTGGTTATTGTATTGTTGAGCAGGAAATGCTTGTTTTTTAATAGCCCTTCTGGCTATTGTGTCGCAGTTTCCTTTTCAGTAGTCTAGCCCTTCTGGCTATTCATTTGCTTTTCTTTCCAAATGTCGGGACTGTTTTAGTGGCGTGGAATTTTTGTGTTAAGTTTTTTTAAACTACTAATCCAACAAATAAGTTTGTTACAGATTTCTCAACTTCCAAATGCATGGATGAGAGATGAAATAACATGGACTATGGAATTTAGAGGGAATGATGCCTGGATCCTGTCTAATGGTAATTAAATATATGTTGTTAAATTTATTTCACAAATCTTTTTGACATCAACAAAAGAAGATTGCACGGAGAAATCACTAAATATAGAAAATTCTATGAAATATCCAGAGTGCTCGTTACAAAAGTTAATAACTGAAGTAATAATACGAGTTGATTGGCTGCGATTTATATTTCTTATGATGCCCTTTTCGATTAAAAATCGCTGTTAAATTATCTTCATTATGAATATTTTTAAATAAATGATGCGACAGCTAAAATAAATACAACATAAATAATAAATCTTATGTTTGTTTCTAATTTGAATTTCTCATTGATAAAAGAACGTAAGGTTTTATTTGTAGTATGTATAGTGGTGATGTTTAAACATTACCCTATTCAATAATATCGTAACATTAGATTTGTGCATTAGGCAAATATGTAATGTGATATATTCGTTATTCAATTTTTCATAAGAATTCTAGAAGAGATGTTGAAAATCGTATTCTGAAAGTCTTCATTATTTACCGAGCTACCATGCCTGCGATAAAGTTTTCCAATATTTTAGCTGAGATATATCGGCGGATCAAAAATATTGGAAAGCTATTTGGCGTGTTTGCCTTTGTAAACGGATGCCGAGAAACTATGTCACAACTTTGTGAAATTTGAATCTTTTATACTCTCTTAGCTTTTAATTTCAAAGCTGGAATTGCTTTTTATCTGAAACGCTCATTCTTTTCTCTTCATGTCAAACATGGTCTTAACACATAAATTTTAAGACTCTTAAAGAATTATTAGGATTTATATTTATTATTAAAAATTATATTTCAATTTGTTTCTGCTAAGAACACTTTACGGACTTCTCAGAATTGAACTTCAATAATGAAAATTGAAGAAGATTAAAAAACTTTGGGGAAGCATCCTGATTAGGATGTTTAAAGATAGATTGAAAATTGGAAGAACGTGTAATTTCTGGAAAGATAGCAATTTTACGGTTTTAATTCAAATCAGCTTGAAATTACCTTTCCTGATTAAAATTAGGGAAGTTTGATGAAATGCTGTTTCATGATTTGCGTTGGAAGTTGGAATGAAGTTAAATATTCCAATATGAAAGGGAAATATCACCGTTAAAAAACATTAAATGGCTGATATATCTGAAACTAGATAGGCGATTGCATTTAGTTCATTAAAGATCAATGTTTTCTAAAGGCAACATTTTATTTGCAATATTTTTCCAATAATTTTACATTGTCGAACCTGTGTAGTCGTGAAATAGAATTCCAGGAACCGGAGTTTACATATTTATATTTATATTTATTTTTCAATCAAATATTTTATTACATTATTACGTAATAGTTGATTGGTCCTTAATGATTAATCAAATGATACCTTCATATATAATGGGATACTTTTTAACTCTTAACTTAACTTTGAAAAGTTATAATAGTTGAAAATATAAAATTTTAAATAAGATTCAAATAGGACTTGTTTGTTAGGACTTGCCTGATAAATATCATCAGTCTATTTTTTCAGTTTTGATCATTTTCTGTTATGTAAATATCTGACAATTGGAAAGACTGAGGCATCTAAAGCAGATTACTTGAACATTCAGAGAATTGGTATCAATGACAGAACAAAATGCATTAGACTAAATTTAATACACAGCTTGATATCAATAGCTTCTTAGATAGATGAGAAACACACGTGCACGGGCAATTCCTTTTTTCAAAATGAAACTCGTAACTTGTTTCACGAATCATCTAGTTCACCTTGCTATTTCTTGAAACAGAATCAACCTGTTTACTGTTGGAAAACCATTAGATACTCCAACATCTCAAAAATCCATCAATCATGGACGAACGTTACAAAGCAGATTGTTAAAAATCGCACTTACCAGTTTATCATGAGATAAAGAAAGGATTGAGGAAAATTTCTATGAAAATTCGTGCACCGGCGAGTCGAAGCGCGTGGTGAGAGGATGTTGGCGATGGAAGGAATCGGGTAGGAATCGGTAACGCGGCAGAAAGTAACTGTAGCAGAAGGGGACCAACACACGTGTTCCGAGCGGGCCGGTCAGTCGGTCATCGTCTTCCGTTGATGTACATTTAAGCATGTCCTTGTTGCGAGACGCGCTTTTTCCCTGGCGTCGAAACATGATCCTCGGACGCGTCGCGGTTTACTTTCTTCGATTGATCTCGCTGGCGAACGTCGGTTTCGCGTCGCAGTTACGGCCGAGTGTTTCGTCCTGGTCGTCGTTCAGTGTTTGCGCTCTGATCGTTCTCCCGTCGGACACGCAGCAATGGTCGTTGCTGGGCTTGAACCTCTGGCCGTCCGAGCAGACTGTCGAGAGACCTTCCGTCGACGGATTCGATTTGAGCGGAAATTCAATCTCCAGGGGTAAGTTCTCGGAGTGCCGTTTCGTGTTTCTTTTCTGACCAAGGTTTCTCGGACTCGTGCCTCGTAACGTTACATCTTGTGTTTGCCCTGAGATTTGTGCTTCTTCCAATCTTACGCGAATCCACGGAAGTGTTTGCTCGGCTAAGGGACAAGGCGTTCCGCTATGATGCGGCGAATTTCCTCCAAATCGCGAATAAAATGAATTTGTTGGCATGACAGATAGATCGTGACAAAATTTGAAATTCGAAGTGTTATAAGATACATGTACATGCAAGTCTGGAATATTATACCAATATTCTATAATAATATTATAGCTAATATTAAAGCAATATTCTTTTAATTAATGCCACTTGCATTTATTTAACTTTCTGTCGATGGCATTTAAATTGTTTTAGTTCTATTCGACATTTTGATTAATATTATATATATAATATTATGGCAATATTCTATAATAATATTATAGCTAATATTAAAGCAATATTCTTTCAATTAATGCCATTTGCATTTATTTAACTTTCTATCGATAGCATTTAAATTGTTATAGTTCTATTCGACATTTTGATTAATATTATATATATAATATTATGGCAATATTCTATAATAATATTATAGCTAATATTAAAGCAATATTCTTTCAATTAATGGCACTTGCATTTATTTAACTTTCTATCGATAGCATTTAAATTGTTTTAGTTCTATTCGACATTTTGATTAATATTATATATATAATATTATGGCAATATTCTATAATAATATTATAGTTAATATTAAAGCAATATTTTTTCAATTAATGTCATTTGCATTTATTTAACTTTCTATCGATGGCATTTAGATTATTTTAGTTCTATTTGTCAGTTTGATTTATATTATATATATAATATTATAGCAATATTCTATAATAATATTATAGTTAATATTAAAGCAATATTCTTTCAATTAATGCCATTTGCATTTATTTAACTTTCTATCGATGGCATTTAAATTGTTTTAGTTCTATTCGACAGTTTGATTCATATTATATTGATTCATATTATATATATATATATAATATTATAGCAATATTCTATAATAATATTATAGCTAATATTAAAGCAATATTCTTTCAATTAATGCCACTTGCATTTATTTAACTTTTTATCGATGACATTTAAATTGTTTTAGTTCTATTCGACAGTTTGATTTTTCCGTATATAATCCGTGGCCTAAACACAATGGCATAAAGATAATGTAATTTACTAGTCGCTTGGAAATTAATCGTACATTTGTATGCAGTAATTACTTAAATCAGATTTGGCAGTATAAACGGGAGGATAAATTGTTTGTCGGTTGCAATTATTAATTAATACGCGGAAGCGTGAACTTAATTTGTACGTTCGAAGTTCGAGGTTTAATCAAAAAAGTTCCTGCAATTTTCAATTTTCTCGCTCTATTTGATTGATGAAAGTTGTTGTTTCATGTTATTGATATACCCGTTTTTAATCTGCTGCGGAGTTTATTCTCGGATTGAATTCGATATCGATTTGACGATATTTCTGACCACCTACGATCTACAATTTACGATTTTCATGACAATGTAATAACTCACAACGCTTTAAAAAAAATTTTTTATTATTGTGTTCACTAGATATCACAATCTGCAATTATTTAATTTAATTTAATTTATTTATTTAAAATCGCGTACGATTATAACATACATACATATAGTATTATAATATATAGTGTGATATAGCATACGTACTATATTACATATAATATAGTACAATTATAGTATACTGTGTTACAATATTGTTGAAAACTTACTGTAAAACTATGCTACTACACTTTGTTAATGATAGATACATATGTATAGATATATTAGATATATTATTGGATATGTAAGGTATGTTACATATATTAGAGGTCTATACCAACTTGTAATTATTTTTTCTTCTCAAGAATGGAAAAAATCGTGAAAGAAAAATGACAAAATTGCGACAAAAATCGTCAAACTGGAAACTATATACATATGTACCAGAAAATGGACATTTTAGAAGCAATACTTTGAAAGACATTGTTTTGAGAAAGCTGACATAAATAATGAACGAACGAAGACGCGCTGTTTCGAATAACCAAAAATTTCTGTTGTTCGACTATTTCAATACGCGAAAAGAATATAAACGAACAGACAGTATCCAGAAGTTGAGTTGAACCTTTCATTGCACAAACCAGTTTGAGATAAGAGTATTTTGTCAAACAGCTCCTACGCACATGGTCGAACGTCTACCCCGCAAAGGTATTAATTGCCAATCACTAAGTGTGTGTAATTCAATAATCCTTCCACCGAGAAGGAACTGGAGACCGACGGTGGATTAATTACCACGTTAATTGTGTGTTCATTATCGTATGCTGATTGCTCCGACTCTAAGCAAAACGCAATCCTACTCGGATGTCGAGTCGAGCGGCACAGGCCACGGGTTCGCGCGATACTCGTCAATTGTCATATTCATGAATTACAAATAACACTTCTACTTCGTCGTCGTCAGTCGGTACTGCGATGTAATGAAGATTATTTGAAATTACTTCGGGGGATAGTAGAAGTCGATATTGGGACCAAATTTCTGGAACTTCGTTGCTCGACAAAAAACTAAAGGAAATGAGAGAAGCGGAAAATCGGAGAAGTCCGAGGAAGCTAGATATTTAACCACTTGCGCTGGCAACTGATTGCGGACCATAACGAGCGACCAAAACCGTATACAATAATTCGCCGCTCTCTCTGTCTTTTCAACTCGCCGGTATGATATCATTGGATAGAAATCATTGAGAAGTAATTTATGAGAATAAATTTGTTACTTGTCTTTACTTAAATATACTTAAAACTAGGGAAAGTATTACAAAAAATTCTCGACGTGCGTGGCACGTCACATTCCGGCGCAAGAGGTTAAGAGAAATATCTAAGAATATCTGAGAAATTGAGAAACGACTGAAGAAAACTTAAGAAATGTAAGAATATCTCGGAAATTTGAAAAATCTAAGAAATCCAAGGAGGCTGTCTGATTTGTGAAATCTAAGAATATCTAAGAGAATTTCAGAGCGACAGCATAACTCTCTGTATAACTCAATAGACCTGCAATCAGCATAAGCTTCGTAGAATCATATCGTGTGACTATCTATAGATAGAAACAGCTGGGTTAAACACAAGACTTTCTTTTTTTTTTTTTTTCTTTCTTCCCCTATTACGGACACACTTTCGTGGGATTGTAAGGATGAAAGAAGCGCCATTATTTTTTATGCATGTAAAAGAACTAAATGCTAAAGAAACGTTACTAAATTTTCATATTATATTGACACGAATAATCAGATGTATAGTGATAGGTATAACTATAGGTATAACTATAGGTATAACTATATAGGTATAACTATTATACCTATACTATAACTGTAGGTATAATAGTTATACCTATGATAGGTATAACTGTTTCACAAAAATATCCAAATATTTACCACAGAACTTTTACATAACGAACATTACGTGTGTTATTAGAAAAAAGGAACTCAATTTTTGGCCAACTGAATATTTATAATCATCTCCTCCATTGGCATTTAACCTCTTAGCTGTGTGAATGGCGAGTATACTGTATATGCAAGAAAAGTAATTGTAATTTGTTACTTAAATTAAAAATTAAATTTGTTACTGTAATTATTATGTGAAAGTAATTGTAATTTGTTACTTAGATTAAAAATTTTAAATTTGTTACTTAAATCTCTTGTGAAAGCTAAAACGTATATTTTGAGACTAGGCTTGACTCTTTCTTGAGACATTTTTGCATTGTTTCTAAATTTCCTTGCCATCAATATTAATTATTATCAATTAATTAATATTAATTAAGTTGAACAATGAAATTATTGATTTTTCAAACGAAAACTGTTATTTAATTCAGCTGCACGTACGCTGTGTTTGACGAGTGTAATCGTCATCGCGTCATTCTAGCGACAGTAGATACACAATTTTAAAAAAACGGCACACCGCAGCTAAGAGATGTTAAATGATCCAAAACTTCCCGTGCACTTTTGACCCTTGGACCGATCAATTTTCCAATCCAATTGTACGAAAATCTCGTAAAACTCGGCGTTGTTGGCGTCGCGTTTCCTTCATCTAGCCGGAGCTCTCGTTTGCAAAAACCCTTCTCTTCCAGTTCTGAACTTTTTTCCCACCCCGGTGCAAGAGGAGTGCCTGTCGCAGGACAAACGACGACGCGGCATATGCATGAACACGTATGAGTGTCGCATTCAAAGGGGAAAGTCCTACGGGAGGTGCGCCCTCGGTTTCGGCGTGTGCTGCATATGTAAGTACATCGGTGCATAACTATGCCCAGATCCATTCCCCTCCCTCCTGAATTTGTTCGGCCCGCGAGCATTTATTTTGCAAATTCGGGGAAGTTTCGCTGCACGGTGGATCGGTGCGTGAACGCGCTTAAATTTAAAACGGGGATTCGCGCCCCGTTCTTGCGCCACCGCTAGAATTTGTTGATACTGCCGTTCCCGTATCTATTAATTCCCCGTTCCCCGTTTACAAAGGGTGGAAAAATAACACAAAACAGATATATTTCTTTAAATTTAAGTTGAGAGAAATTTTATTATTAATAAGTCTGATCGATTGATTTAAATATTTATTTATTATTTTAATAACTTATTTCTCTGGTTTGATATCTTTTATTTGTTCTGTGTATTTATTTAGGTTTGTTGAACATGGAAATATTTTTATAAATTTCAAAGTTCATAATTGTAAGTTAATAAATCTTTTAAGATTATTTGTACATTTATTTTTCAGTAAATTTGTTTTTTTTTTTTTTTTTTTTTTTGTTTTAATAATTTTTTTAAATAGCTTAATTAGAAATATTTGAATTGTGATTTCAAAGAATAAAACACTGTTTTTTAAATTTTTTGTTACTTCATTTGGAAATATAATTAATGGATTATTATGCGTGAAAAACAATATCCCCCATTTTGAAAATGATCAAGTTATGACTTTTTTCAAATCGTTCAGCTTTTCAGTGGCCGTATTTCATAAACGACGCGATGCTTTCACATTTGGATGTGCCGTAGAATCTGTATAGAGAAATTCTTTTCTTTTTCAAGAGTTTTTTTAAAGAGTTTAAAGAGTATCATGTAATATTACAATAATCGAAACTTTCTGTCTAACAAAGAGATTTCTTGTTTAACTAGAGCATCGTATTTTGTGTAACAATTATAACAATTAAAACGACGATTTTTTATGTACGAAATGGTCGATTTTAGAAACGCGTAAAAATTATTTGAACTTCATCGATTGAAGATCCAGTTTAACAGTCGAAATAATTTATTTCTAATATTTTACAGAAATTTTACAGAATTTTTAGAGATTCATATGACGTTTCGTAAAATGTTCAAATAAAAAGCTAAATAAAAGCAAATTTTTATTATTACACTATACTATATTATATATTATACTCACATCTTTCACGTGTCAGATCATAGCAATCGAATTTTAATCTTGGCTGCATTTTTAACATTCACAAATCACACGCGCCGATCTTTGTCAAAAATCAGGCTTTGTCTCTTTTTGTTTTCATAAGTGCAATTTTGTTTTCACAATGCAGAGCATGTTGGCCTACGTTTTATTTTATTATTTATTTAACAATACGAACCACGAAAAGTTACAAAATGAAAGGATTTTCGAAAATGAAAAAAAAAAAAAAATCCGTATTGGAAACATTCTATTGTAGTAATCGTGACAAGTTTCTGTTTCGAATAAAATAGAAGAACGTCAACACCGACGCACACATTATCGATTCAATTGAATGGGCAACACACGCTACAGTGCTGTGTAAATTTTTCTTTTGTAGAAATATTTTTGCTTTCGCGCAATTGTTTTACATTGCTCTCGCACGCGCGTGCACAATTTCAATCTTGGTTTACAGCGAAACGCTCGTAAATCCCGTTACACGTGCAGCCAGGCAACAAGTGACCTAACTGCCCTGTGTAACATTTACACCGTGTCGCCGGAGATTTTCATAATCAACAGCTACGCGGGCTCGATTTTATGCAAAAATTAAACGCGCGCGCGCCCCACTTATCTGCGCCGTTTGTTCCCACCCACGTCGTGTTCTGTCAATCGTAAATCGCTCGGTCTTCTCGATACGAAAAGCAGCTTGCACTCGCCTCGTACGTCTCGTTCCGCGTTGAACGTTTCACAGGATATCGTGCCTGGAAACTTCGCCACGCGATGCACTGTACTATTAATATATTGATAGGCTGAACTTGCGTAAAGATTTTCAGCCATTATCGGGTTGGAAACACTCGCATAAACACGAAGTGCAGCGTAATTTCTGATAGGGCGGTTCACTCCAGATGGGCGAGAGATTGAGAAATATGCGAGGCGACGTTTTTGCACTTGGCTGGACGACGTTGAAAACCGTGTTGTTTGACGTATTATATATAAAGATCGTAACAATGATATTAACCTCTTGTGCCACGCACGTCGAGAATTTTTTTGCGACATTCTCTCAGTTTTTAAGTATATTTAAATATAACCCGGTCAGAACGAATAATAAATTTATTGGTTCTTAGTAATTTCTATCGAGTGATGTATCGACGAATTCAAAAAGAGGACGAATTATTGTATTAGTTATTAGTAATTATTGTATAATTCGGTGGTCACTCGTTATGGTCCGCGAACCACAGTTGCCAGCGCAAGGGGTTAAGTATCGGATTGTGTTTTTGATATTCTTGAAATAACTTCATAATTGTACTGTCGAACTCGAGAAAAGATTTTGGGACGTTTGATGGAAATATTTAATCAAATTTCAAAGTTCTTTTCTACATACATACTCGACATTGACTGTAATTACAATTATAAATCAATGACGAGCAACTTGCTCTTTTGAAGACACGTTCGAACATTAATTAATCTGGACGTAGCACAATTTACATATACAGAATGTTCAATTATCGTTTCAAGATTCGTTGGTACAGCCATAAAAGTCTCTTGTGCAAAAGTTGAGTTGCATCGAGTTTAAGAATGAAAAGAAAAATTAACAGGGAATTATTATTAAATAATAATAATATTACATCGTATTGTATCGTCAAATTGTAACAATCGTATTGTTATTATTCAATAATTTCAACAAACTGAACCAGAGGAACGGAGTTTTTAAAATGAGCTCAAAGTTAAGAGATTAACTTTGCACATCGTTTTACCACTATGTGCATTTTCTTCGAGTATCTAACTATTAAATATTACAACCATCAAGTATATACAGTTAACTGTACGTTAACTGTTCTCTGTGTTTCTTGCCATTTTATGCGATAGAAGCCTCAAAGAGCAACGAAAAGCAACTCGTCTCATTCGTTACGCAGCTTGGCGATTACGAAGAAGAGACATCAAGATTTTTCAACATTCCACACGTTATTTTCCCAACAACTTCGCCGCGTACTCGAAATTAAAGACTGACATTTACCACCGAGAATCTTTCCGCACAATCGCCGGAGCAAAACATCCGGACAGCCTACCCAGGAATAAACCTCCATTAATATTAATAAGGAAAGGGGTCGTGTGCTCCGTTATCCAAGAATTTCCTCATCTTATCGATCATGTCTCTCCCTCGATTAATTAATTCAGACACCGTGCGTTCCGCACCGTGAGTTGGAGCTTCTCGGCTCCTCCTCCGGCCGAGCGAAAACTCCGGTGTTCAAAGCCGATAACTCGAACGTGAATCACTTGTTGATAGCTCCGGTAATCTCTGCGGGAGTAGAAAAGAAAAGGAGCGAGACAAGCAGAGAAAATTGGAGAGATAGACAGATATATATACATATATATATATATATAGAGAGAGAGAGAATTCTCGGAGAGGCAATCATCGAGAAAGAAATTGGCGGAAAGGTCGATGAAACGCGATGAAGGCGATCATTTTATCTGGGTCACGCGAACAAGACGGCAGCCAATTAAATAACTGTACAACTTGTGCCCGGGTACGTTCATCCTTGGCACGCGAGCTTGTATCAAGCTCGTTCTCCTCGTCCCTCTCTTGTCTCCTTCGTACGCGCGTACCACGCTCTCGTGATCGTTTCACCGTGAACGCGCACGCGGCGATACCGTTAGGTTAAAACCGCCGCCACGAATTCAATCCGTATTGTCGGCAACGACCGCCCGAAACCCGAGGCCGGGGCTCGATTAACCAGAAGAACGTGGAATTCCACGAGACACCTGCACGACCTGGGATATCTGGGGGATAAACGCTGACAAATCGGTCGACGTTGTGCCGGCGTGATTAATCGGTAACCGAGGTCGCTGCAGATCGTATTGGATCGTGGACAGGAACGTTTAATCCGCCGTGATTTACAGCGAGAAGCAGCGTTGAATCAACAAAGATGACGCGAAAAATTGAACGACGTCATGAGTTTGTCATTTTCATTTTTTCTTTCTTTCAAAGTCTTTGCATCACGCAGCGGATGAAAAAGTAAGGGTGCTTGGAAACAGCGTTCTCCTTCGAGAACGTTGAAAAATTAGGTACATCATGGTTGAAGTCTCTGAAAGAATAATAAAGTAACATCGATATTAATTTTAAGGCCTTAATGTTAGTAATGAAATATTCTCTAAATGTATAAAAACTGTCCTGAACATCAGCGTTAAACGACAAAAATTCGTCTCCTGACGATATAATAATAATATAATAATATAATATTATATAAATTAACGATATAATAATATATTATAATAATATAATATTATATAATAATATGACGATATAATAATATTCAAAGTTAATTAGGAACATTGGAATTGAAGTTAATATCGACACAACTTTCACTCGATAAGTAAATCTGCGAATTTTTCGTAGATTTCTGAGAAATCACAAAGGTGTGAAAAAGCAAAGAGCCTAAAGGATAAACGAAAAAAACATCTGAAATACCTAAAGTGTTCGATGTGATATTCATGAGAGCCACCGCGTATCATATTTGGCATCGTCTCGACAGAATACCGATCGATTACGATTTCTTATCAATGTGATTCACGTATCAAGATGTGTTCAGCATTTTACGGAAGAAGCTGCCTCTCGTTTGAAGAAGAACGTGACGCGAGAGCAAATTCACGGCAGAAGCGTTAATAGTCGCTTTTATCGTGTGCACGTGCTTATTTTCAGGGTAGTTTGATAATTGTATATAGGCTCCTCTTGTTGCTTCTCGGTACGTACAAACGTTCATTCAGTTCTACAGTGATTCGACCGCTATGAAACTCTTTCACGATTATACGATACGTGCTGTGCAAAGTGTTTTGAAATTTCGTTAGCATCGCGAAAAGAGATAC